GAGTCAGGAGTTCACACTTTAGTGACTCCATTATCTCTGTTCCAATAAACACAGGCCTGCTTCACGTGTCTCATTCTTTTAATTGGGCTCGTTAAAGCCCCCGGCTTCCTTAATGAGGAGTGAGTCGTAAACATTTAGCTGCAGGTGACGCGAGGCCGAGCCAAGGGCAGAAAGTCTCTCTGCAGCGTGATAACAGGAGAGTTATTCTAAATGTTCAGACGAGGTCATGAGATGTTTTTAAACTGCTGCTCTAGAACGAGTCACAAAGTGTGAAACACGTTTTCAAAGCGGACATTTTGGAAAACAAATTTTACAAACGTCCCCAAACAAACGGCCGAATGTTGAGGGACTCTGAAAGCCGGAGTTTAAAGTCAAACATTTGTTCGACCCTCTCTGAAATTAAAGTTTTGATTTTGTCAACCTTGATGTGTTTTGACTAATGTCTGTGTATCTGTGTGTTTGTGTGTGTTTGTGTGTGTTTTCAGTCGCTCAGAAGATCGTGGCGACCAGGAAGAAGCAGCAGCTCTCCATCGGGCCGTGCAAGTCGCTCCCCAACTCGCCGAGTCACTCGTCTGTCTGCGCCACTCAAGTGTCAGCCGTCCACATCAGCCAGGTCAGACCACACACACACACACGTATACACACACGTATACACACACACGTATACACACACACGTATACACACACACGTATACACACACACATATACACACATACACACCTCAGGCCGTTAAGCTCTTCGATCCTCGTCCTTCACTCCTGCATCGATTTCTCATTAAAAAGCCATCGCTCAGCGTGTGTGAGCTGCACGCCGTGTCCCCAGAGAGCCGTGTTTATCTTCCCACCGCCTCCTCCAAACGGCGCCCGCTGCATCTTCAGCTCTCAATGATTCCTGTGGAGTGTGTGTGCTGCTCTCCTGTTACCCTCGTCACAAACACTGACTCAACCGTCATAAAAATGTGTTCTTTATAAACGTCTTTGTTTTGATTGGACGCTTGTTGTTCAAGGTCGTTTACATTTATTTATTTATTTTTTCCCCGTGCAGACGAGTAACGGCGGCGGCAGTCTGAGCGACTACTCGTCGTCGGTTCCGTCGACGCCGAGCACGAGCCAGAAGGAGCTCCGCATCGACGTGCCGCAGACCACCAACACGCCCACGCCCGTCAGGAAGCAGTCCAAACGCCGCTCCAACCTCTTCACCGTGAGTCCAAGTCACAAACACACAAGACATTTATGAAAACAGAAAAACAGATTCTTCTGGGTATGAAGTTCAAAAGTCCGGATTCTGAATTTTAAATTTTTTTTTTTTAATCAAAATGATTATTTATTTTTTTGTCATCACGATCACGAACAGGAAGTAGCTGTTTGCACATTTGCAGATAATAAACACACAAACACAGAGAGAAGCTTCCACTCGTGTCTGTAATGAGACGTTTTGAATCTGGAACATCGAGCACGTTTTGTCTTTGACAGTTTGAATAATAAAGGTTTTTTTTCTCCGCAGTCGAGGAAGGCCAACGAGACGGACAAGGACAAGAAGGGCCTGGAGGCTCGCGCCGACAGCATCGGCAGCGGGCGAGCCATCCCCATCAAACAGGTGAGTCTCTTCCTGTCCCCCCCTCCTCCTCCCTCTCTCTGTGTTTGATTCGTCGGCCTTGATTAACAGAGAAATCACACACTTAACATCAATTAGAGCGAGGGGCTCTCCCGGGTCCTCCAACCAGATCATTATGAGCAGAAGAGGGATGAATTTCACCGTCACTCCCTCCGTCGCTCTTTTTTCTCCCTCTTCTCCCCCCCCTCTTCCTCTGATCGTCCACTTCTTCTCTCACTTTGAGCCCCTCGTCTTCCTCTCAAAGCCGCTCCTTTTCTCCCTCCCGCGCTCTTTGATCCGATCGCGTTTTAGAGGAATAAAAGAAGAAGAGGATGAAGGGGAGGGGGGCGAGCAAAGAGGAGAACATCTTCACAAGCCCCCCTACGCCTCACCCTCTCTCTCTCTTTCTCTGTGTCACACACACACACACACACACACACACACACACACACACACACACACTCGTCCCTGCTGTGGCATCGAGGAGAGCACCTGAATCGGCTCTTAATTTGTTGCTAACATGCTCCCTTCCTGTCGGAGCAGCGGTAGGTGAGACTGTAGGGGGTGAGGGTGGGTGAGGTGTTGGTGGAAGTGGGGGGTCTCTTGACAACCAAATCAGGCAATTAGTGAGCACTAATCGTGGCCTCTTGTGTCGCCGCTGCAGCCTCGTCTGTAATCTGCTAATGAAGAGAGAGAGAGAGAGAGAGAGAGAGAGAGAGAGTGGGCAAGAGACACAGACTGAGGTGGGTGGGGGGGGGGCTGCTGTTTGTGTCTGAGGTCTCCGTTTAAGTATAGACCCCGTCGTGCTGTCACAGAGGAGCAGACGATAATTGCGCCTAAACGTCGTCCTCCGCGTGTGAGAATCCTCTCAGCTCCCAGCGGCCTCAAACGCACCGTCTTCTTCTTCTGTGGTGTTAATGCAGCGGTGCAGCCCAGCAGGCGGGGTCTGGTCCCGTTCACACTCCTCATTAGGCGGTGATGAGAGATGTGTCACACACCTTGAACTTTAAAGTGTAACGTGGTCAGAAGTGAGACGCTGAAGTACCAAAAAGTGGAAAATATGTGCAGAAGTTAGACACAAAATATAAATATCTAAACACAGACACACACACACACACACACACACACACACACACACACACACACACACACAACACACACACACACACACACACACACACACACACCCTTCCAGAGCAGAATAAAGCAGAAGCGGCAGCGCTGTGAGGCAGAGCTTCCTCCTGTTGTGTATTTTTTGGGGAAGTGGACGTTAATTGATTTGATGGTTCCCTGTGGTCGCTCTCGCCTCCCACCCCCCCACCTCCTCGTCACGACGGGCTCAACACACTGCAGACCTGCTCCCTAATTACACTGCATGTGTGTGTGTGTGTGTGAGTGTTTTACACAGACGAGGTGTGTGTGCAGAAAAAGATGTAGCACTTCACATTCAAGGTTCAGCTACCTTTTGCCCATTAACGCTCCATTTGCACATTTAGAGTGTGTGTGTGTGAGTGTGTGTGTGTGTGTGTGTGTGTGTGTGTGTGTCCTCATAGCTGCATGTTCACACTTGTTTTTAATGAGACGTTGCTCCGGCTGAGCCTCCGTCACCTTTTTGTCTCTGAAAATGAACTTATCGAGACATTCCCTCCTCAGGCTCTTCTTCCTCTCCTCACTCCTTATTTGGTCGTTTTCTTTCTTTTGATTAAAAAACTGCAAATATTCAGTTAATTTCTCTCAAACTGTGAAGTTTAAATGGAGCTAATTGTTCTCCACACACATCATCACAATCAGCCGTCATTAGTGTTAAGCCCGTTAACGCCGCAGCTCGGAGGTAGGAGGCGGCCGGGCCGATGACCTAACACAGTGCGACACCTGCCAGAGAGATTAGCGGCGCCGCGTTCCTCAGCACAACACACCAGCGCACAATCAGGTTACACTTTCTCTCAATACTGAAGCTTCACTTTGTGTTTGTACGGCACGATGTGAGCGTTTAGGTGGTTTAAAATGCTCTAAAACAACGCTCCAGACTCCACTGACAAAGACTTTAATTTAACGTTTAAAGAAACAGGAAGTGCTGGTGCCTACCATGTACCTGTGTGTGTGTGTGTGTGTGTGTGTGTGTGTGTGTGTGTGTGCGGTCCTGATCTCATTAGACGTCTCTCAGCTCGACCACTCGAGGTGACGGCGGTTCAGTTCGCCTTTTGCTAAGAGAGAACGCCTTCGTTAAGAGAGTCCGGCGCTCATTAAAACACACACACACACACACACACACACACACACACACACACACACTCAGAGGAACACACACACACACACACACGGGCTAGGACACGGAGGACTCTGTGGGCTGTAATGAGAAGAGGGCGGGCCTCCACTCTGAGACAATTAGGCGACACAGAGCCGCACAGAAACACACTTCAACTCAGATAACAAGAGTGACTTCACACTCGGGTTATAATGGACGAGTGTGTGTGTGTACGGTGTGTGACGGTGTCAGGTCTGCCATGTAGCTTCTTGTCCAGATATTTAACTTCCTTAAACAGAAACACAGATTTAAAAAACAAAGATTATGTACTGTGCCTTTAAGAACAAAGATCAACATGTTCATGATCATGTACTGTACCTTTCAGAACAGAGATCAACATGTTCATGTACTGTCCCTTTAAGAACAGAGATCAAAATGATCATGTACTGTCCCTTTCAGAACAGAGATCAACATGTTCATGTACTGTCCCTTTAAGAACAGAGATCAACATGTTCATGTACTGTCCCTTTCAGAACAGAGATCAACATGTTCATGTACTGTCCCTTTAAGAACAGAGATCAACATGTTCATGTACTGTCCCTTTAAGAACAGAGATCAACATGTTCATGTACTGTCCCTTTCAGAACAGAGATCAACATGTTCATGTACTGTCCCTTTAAGAACAGAGATCAACATGTTCATGTACTGTCCCTTTCAGAACAGAGATCAACATGTTCATGTACTGTCCCTTTAAGAACAGAGATCAAAATGATCATGTACTGTCCCTTTCAGAACAGAGATCAACATGTTCATGTACTGTCCCTTTAAGAACAGAGATCAACATGTTCATGTACTGTCCCTTTCAGAACAGAGATCAACATGTTCATGTACTGTCCCTTTAAGAACAGAGATCAACATGTTCATGTACTGTCCCTTTAAGAACAGAGATCAACATGTTAATGATCATGTACTGTCCCTTTAAGAACAGGGATCAACATGTTAATGATCGTATACTGTCCCTTTAAGAACAGAGATGAACATGTTAATGATCATGTACTGTCCCTTTAAGAACAGAGATGAACATGTTAATGATCATGTACTGTCCCTTTAAGAACAGAGATGAACATGTTAATGATCGTGTACTGTCCCTTTAAGAACAGAGATCAACATGTTAATGATAATGAACTCTCGGAGGATGAACACGTTTCTGTGTGAGGGTTTAAATCAGGAAACATGTGGCGCCGTGGCGCTCAAACCTCCTGCGAACATGAAACCACAGAGGAAGCACTCTGCTGCACCGACAGCTGATTGGTCGTGTTTTTTCTTCTTCTCGTGTCTCGAGGAGAGCGGATGCGTCCAGCTTTGTTTACAGAGGCTGTTGACGGCGCAGGGCTCCTCCGACATCTGCTCCACGCCGCTAATTAACCGCTAATTACCGGAGAGAGAGAGAGAGCGGCTCGCTCCGTCTCTGTCGAGTGTCTGAGCGAGCCGCTTTGAAAACCAACAATCTAACAAATTAATTTCCTCCGACACAGCAGCCGAGCCGCTGGGACCGCAGATCTCTCTCTCTTCTGAACCTTTATTTACTCTGTGAAGGCTGAACGAGCACGCTGCTGTTTACACACACTCTCACCCCACACACACACACACACACACACACACCTGGGAGCTGCCCCGCACACACACAAGAGAGGAAACATGTCTGACACTCGAGCTCAACGACACACTCAAGGCCGACTCAAAGAGCGATAATGAGAAGAGGAAAGAATGATTCACTCTTTGTAGAATCTGAAGTGCAGCATTAGACCTTTGAGTGACATCACACCACATTCAGACACAGATTCAACCTCAGTTTGAGTCTTCACACACATTAAAGGCGGAGTCAGGAGAAATGTTTACAAACATTCAAACTAGGCTCCTCCTCCTGGGCTCATCTCCCCCAGAAGCCCCGCCCACTTACTGCAGGATGTAGCGTGTACATTTACTGCTTGTAGCTACACTGCATGCTAGCACAAGCTAAACACCGGTGTTTGTCACCTTCCTGTCCAACAGGAAGTAGACCAACTCCACGTCCACGGGTCATTTTAGAATAAGCTTTATTCGCTTGGTGTTTCTCCTCACTCTGATTATATTTTCTCTTCTTTGCTGCTACGTCCAAGTCCGTTATATTCACCGGTTTGAATGGCGTCCATTCACTGAATTGTTTAGGAGAAGTCTGTGTTTTATTTTGAAGGTCCCTACATAAGTCTGTATTTTATTTTAAAGGAACATGATGCTGACTCTGTCTTTACTTCAGGAGAAGTATGTATTTTATTTTGAAGGAGGAAGCTGCTGACTCTATACTTTGGGAGAAGTCTGTACTTTATTTTGAAGGCCCCATACATAAGTCTGTCTTTTATTTTGAAGGAACAAGCTGCTGACTGTCTTTACTTTAGGAGAAGTCTGTATTTTATTTTGAAGGAACAAGCTGCTGACTGTCTTTACTTCAGGAGAAGTCTGTATTTTATTTTGAAGGAACAAGCTGCTGACTCTCTTTACTTGAGGAGAAGTCTGTATTTTATTTTGAAGGAACAAGCTGTTGACTGTCTTTACTTTAGGAGGTCTGTATTTTATTTTGAAGGAACAAGCTGCTGACTGTCTTTACTTTAGGAGAAGTCTGTATTTTATTTTGAAGGAACAAGCTGTTGACTGTCTTTACTTTAGGAGGTCTGTATTTTATTTTGAAGGAACAAGCTGCTGACTGTCTTTACTTCAGGAG